CTGAGTCAGATTTCTAGAACTCATACACCCCTCCCTCAACAAAACAAAATTGGATGTGGTGCTGTGTACATGTAATCCTAGGACTGGGGAACCCGAGATAGGTGGAACCTTGGTACTTACTGGGCAGCCAGTCAAATCACACTGGGGAGCTCTAGTTTAGTGAGAGACCCTGTTCCAAAAAACATGATGGACTGCCTCCTCTAAGGAATCATACTCAAGGCTGACCTTTGACTGTTTTACACATGGCACATATGTGCATGTATACACTCATAAAAAGTAAGACTTAGAGATACAACATGAACTGCATACTGATGACACCGGCTACACTGAAATGTCCCATGGCCCAGATGTGCCCTGTCACTGAGTCCCAGACAGCACAGATAGAGTCCTACCCAATTCAATGTTTACAAGTTGTTTTCTCTTTTTGGTGTCAACCTTCTCTGAGGGGCCTCTTCTTGACCACAACCCTCCTTCATGTTCCCAATGGATACATTCCAGGCTGACTATCACCTGTGATTCACTTGGGACTATTTTATAAGTTTAGCCAAGGGTGAGGGTGGAAAGGTATGCTTCTGGTCCTCACAAACAATAAAATCCTTAGTCATCAGCAACGGTCACTAGTCTTATTCTATTCCTTTTAGGTAAGGCGTCCTAGTTTGCTTTCTATTACTGTGATAAACACCATGGCCAAAAGTAACTTGGGGAGGAAAGGTTTCAATTCATCCTATGGTTTGTAGCCCACCATCCAGGGAAGTCAGGGCAGGAACTCAAGGCAGAAACCTGGAGGCAGGAACTGAAGCAGAGGGCATGGAGGAGTGCTGCTTACTGGCTTGCTCAGTTTGCTTTTTTATACAGTCCAGGGTTGGCTGCACCCACAGTGGGCTAGACCCTTCCACATCAATCATCAATCAGGAAAATTCACCACAGGTTTGCCTACAGCCCGATCTTAGGGAGACATTTTCTCAATTAAGATGTTCTCTTTTCAGATGAGACTAGCTTGTGTCAAACTGACAAAAATAAAACAACACAACAAAAACAATCAGGACAATGGGTATGAAGAGTGTCCCTTCTAAATGACCACCATGCATTGCAATCTGTAGCTCAAACTTGTTTCCCAAATGAAAGTGAGTCAAAATCTTGAGTAGTGTGTCAAACTGTCAGTATCTGCTGTGGCCTCCCCAAGCTCCTGCCCTCACAGGACACTGGGACCCATTCTGTAGCACTTTTCCTATGTAGACCTCCCAAGATCCCTCAGATGGAAGAAAGATACTCAACCTCAGAGAAACCAGATGAACACCAGAGCCTAGTTCTCTTAGGTAGCAGCTCTTGATCCTATCTCTAGCTTTGGGGAGCCACACCATTGGATAATAGGCAAGGTAATACCAAATGGGCAAAGTATAGGGCTGGTGAAATGGCTCAGTGGGTGAAGTGCTTTTTGAACAAGCACAGAGACCTGTGTTTGGACACCTACCAGTCACATAAAAAGTTAGGTGTTGCAGTGTGCATCTGTAACCCTCATACTGGGGAGACAGAGACAGGTAGACTCCAGAGGGCTTCCTGGCTACCCAGTCTAGCCAATTATAGAGCTCCAGATTCATGGAGGCACCCCATCTCAAAAGAAATTAGGTAGACAGTAATAGAGGAGAACATCCCTGAGGGCTTCTACATATACCCCATATGGATAAGTACAACCACATGTATATGTGTGGGCGCGCGCACGCACACACACACACACACACACACACACACACACACACACACACACACTGCTTTATGTGCCATGAGCACCCTTACCTAAAACTCACCTTCCTGATCAAATGCTGTGGTGCATGGTGGGAGCAGGTCCCCCTCATGCTATCTTGTCCTCATGCCCAGCCCTGGAAGGTCTATATGGCCATGCGATTTGCCTCAGCAGATAACAATGGCAGAAGCAGTTCAGGGAGACTCTTCCTCCTATTATTCCTGGCCTTAGTGGCTTGGAGGATGGCCACATAGTCTGAGCAGAAGTGGACCAGTGTTGCTGGGAGCTCTGGAAAGTTCCAGACTAAAAGTCCAGAATATTCCTGGTCCATCCCAGCCTACAGAAAAGATAATGACTTCCTAGAACACATCCTGCCTGCTGATTGTGAAGATGAACCCTTCGCTGCCAGCAAATTACCCAGGCACTTCTCACCCTACGCACTGGAATTCTCTCCAGCACCTGCATTGGAGTTTCATGTGGATGGGCGGCTTGGCTCCTTTTTAACATTCTGGTGGAATGTCACAAGCACTCAGAAATGGCTTTCCAATCTTGTTGTTTTATCAATACAACTGGAATGGCAGCTGGGAACACAGCCCTTCCAAGCTCACTCTGACTCAAGGTCAGCCAATGGAATACATCACCATGGTCTTCTTTCGGTTTCCACAACAAAGGGACATCTGAGGACAGTCCTTCTAACAGCTTTCCTTTTTTGTCTATACTGCTTTTTAAGCCAGGCTTTTCAACCTTAGCACTATTGACATTCTAGGCTGGATGTTCTCTGTGTTTGGGACACCCTGTGCATTATGGGAAGCTCAGCTCCACATGATCAGACTCAGCTACGAGATTTCTAGTGACACTGGTTCTCACTCATGACAGCAGGTGTCCTTGCAGATTGCAGTTGGATACCAATATTCTAAACTGATTGCATTCTTTTTTGCCCCTTCATGTGAGTTTTCTTTTTAAGATGAACTATGGTTGTATAGAAAAAGTTATTAAGTTATCTTTCATTAAATCAAAACAAATAAACAAAAACCAAAATAAGACTCCCTGTCTTCTGTCTGTCATTGCTGAAGGCCAATGTTCCTATTGAAAATGAACCATTCTCATGGCAGGAAGTGCTGAGAAATGCTGAGCGTTCATTTGTTTGGTCATCTAGCCTCCACTTGGTAAACAGCAGCAGCAGCCACTGTTCTGAACATTAGGCATGCTGGGAGAACAAACAAGTGAAGCTTCTGTTTCTAGTGCTCATAGCCTCTTTGGTGAGTCACTACAGAAGCATCGTGCCTATAAACCTCATATAGCAAATTAAAATAAGCACTCCAATGGAAGATAGAGGGTAGCTTCAGAATGAGGAAGAGGTGACATTTAGGCTGAGATGGAAAGGAAAGCGCTGTGGGGTGAGCAATAGATAGCTATTTGGCAGAACAGGGAGATTGGTATATTCCAGACTCCAACAAGTGTGATTAGAACACGTAGTAAGGTGCAGGTTGGAAGAGAGGAAGATGGAGCCAGAGAAACTGCAGGGTTTAAGGCCCTTCAGAGCTATGCTGCTCAAAGACAGCCAGGTTATGGCTACCCATGGATCGGTTATGGCTTCCTGTGGCGGCACATGCTCCTCAGACATAGTAGACCCTTGGCTCTCTGACCTGTGCCTCAGAGCACCTGGCTACCCCTCCCCAGCACACCACAAAGCCACAGCTTCAGGCTGAACCTGCTATGTTTCTCTACCAATTTGCTGAGAAACGAAATGCACTTAGTCAAGCAAAGGGAATATGAGTAGAAGCCCAATGGGGAAAGCTTCCCATGTCAACATTCTGCTCTACCATGGGGGCCTGGGTGGGGAATTTGGACTTTTCCCAGTGGTAAGAATGACAGGTGGCATAGGCTTGTCATCCTTGTTGCCTAGAACACTTAGGCAAGAGGATCACAAATTCAAATTCAGACTCGGAAACCTAGATGATATTTTGAAATAAAAAGGTTAATGGAAGGGATGGATATGTACCTCAGTGGCAAAGCACTTGCTTAGCATGTGTGAGGCCAGAGGTTCAGTTCTCAGCATCACACACACACACACACACATGAGTGTTCGCACAAAGAGAAAACACACTAGTACTTCAGATACAGAGAAAATCCTGAGCTTGTGCTCACAGAGAGTCTACTACATGGTCACTTTTAATAGGGTTTGATTCTTGTGAATGACACTAAAGGGCAGTGTCCATCTGTGCAATACAGGTGCTGCTGTAGGTAGAAATGCTTTTCCAGAAAGACACTTACAGTCCTAAGCCTTGGTATCTGTGAGAGCTTCATGTGGAAATAGGCATTTTAGACATAGTTCAGTTCTGTGAACCAGGGTGGGCTCCCTGCTAGGCCAGTGCCTGGTGTCCTCACAGGAGAAGGAATGTAGACACAGACACACCGTGAGCACAGGGAGGACCACAACTTGTACCAGCAACTGCCCACCATACCTGCCATAAGCCACAGACATAAAGCATGTAGTCCTTGGAGGCCTTCAGAGAGAGCATGAGCTCCCATACACCTGGATTCCAGGCTAAGAGCTCCAGGCATTGAAGGTGATATGCTTATACTGTTCAAAGCGGTCTTTCACGACAGTCATAGGAAACAAAACACAAGTTCCTTTTGGGATCCTACCTTGATATGACTAAACAATTCAATGGAACCCCAGAAGGAGCTTGAAAGTCATCTGGGATTTTATGAATTTTTTAAGCCAGAGTGGATAATTTTTATATAATGACTACACATCTGGCTACAAGGACAGTGACAAAGTGTATGATGGCTGATTAAATTGATGACAACTTTCCCTTTAGCAGAAGTCAACTGAATATATCATTTTGCTTAAGCCAATTGATCTTCAAACTGCCAAGTTGGAACATAGCCTGTCTCATCACAGGGTTAATTTTTCAGTGACAACAGAAATATACAAGATTCCAAAGGCACACACTAGCTAAGCACACAGTTATGTCCAAGCCGCTCTCCCAAACCTGGTTCCCCAAGTAAGAGCTATCGAAAGTCGGATGTCTTCAGGCCTTACTATCCACAAAGCATCTAAAAAAGCTATTGATTTTTTTTTAAAATAAAAAGGTTTCTTATAAGTACAAGCTAGAGGAACACGTATAAAGTACTTCTGCACACAATATGTAACACATTTCTGGTTCTGCAAACATCGTATGTTAAGAAATGTGCTTCTAGGGCTACAGGAGGCACCTGTGAGAAAGACACCAAGGGACAGTATGTGTCTTACCTTGCCTTTGTCAAAGTAGTGGATAATTTCTTGGTAGAGTTGCTCTTTCAGCTGTCCTTGTGTTGTTGCCTGAAATCCGTCCCGCTGTGTGAGATGGGCTGCACACACATCCTCTGACCACTGAGGGAAAAAACAACAAATGAACAATGCTGAGGCAGGGGCAAGTTCAGCAATATCATTGAGCAACAAGCTAGGTATTGAGTATGTGTATGAGACTGTGAGTCCAAGGATCTGGTGTTGCTGTCGTTAGACTGCCAAGGCCTGGAAATGCCAGGGGTACAACCTGTCTCTGGAGGGCCCAAGAAGGACAGATGGGAAGGCAGAGACAGACATGCCTAGTAGAAAATCCCTGAGGAGCATGGGCTCCCAAGCTTGCAGGCAGCTTCATAGCCTCTGATAGCCAGAGGTGTAGTATAAGCAGGTGGCTGGTGACTGTCTTCAGTGCGTAACTAGGGCTCATTTTCCTTGGTCAGAAGTCACTCAAGACCTTAACAGGCAATACAGGTCATCCAGAAAGGAAGTCCATAGGCTACCAAGATCCTTAGGGAGGGAGAGGTACCTATGCATGGCCAGCTGTGGGCCTGCTGTCTGGCATTGGCTGCATCAGAGATTGTGGAAATGCTGGCCAGTTTTTGTGTGAAATGAAGAGGTACCAGAGTGGAGACTAAGGCCATTTGACAGGCAAACCATGTGAACTCCTCTGTATTAGCTTAACAAACCAACATGGTTCGTATGAGCTTCAGTAACAATGAGCATCTGCTTCTTGAGGTCCTTCTGTGTGCCTATTGGTCAAAGATGGTTCAGGAGCCTCACTCCCAAAGGAGCTCTGAGCCAACCAAAGACTGTGATCATACAAGTGCATCATGAGATATAATAACCCTGAAGAAGATTCCATATAAGCGTAGGAGGAGAGACTTTGCATGGGGTGGCCTGGGAGGCTCAGATTACCTGTAACATGCAATGTGATCTTGTGTTAAGACAGGACAGTGAGGGTATTACAAAGAAGCAATTGACTACCAGGTCATAGTTTCCAAACAAATGTGGGTGGGAGTGTGTGGGATGTCCCAGTGAACTCAGTGCTATAGTTAAACCATGGGACCAGCTATGGTGACACTTGTTAGGAGCATGACAGTCAAAGGGAACAGGGCAAGGAGTGGCGACCTGGGTGGTGCTGTGACATAGGACAAAGGGCCATATGAACTGGCATGGTGACATGGGGAGTGAGGCTCCAGTGAAACTGGTGAAATGCCGATGGATGTTTGCTCTCTGGCACACATGCTTTCCAACACCCTGGGCTACCTTGAGCTGAATGATGCAAGCCTGAAGGACTCCCTATCCCTAGGACTGATTGGGTAGGAGCAGAAAGGCCTTTATATGGTCCACAAGATACTTAAATTAACGGTGGACCTGCAGATCCCACCTGCAATCAGAAACAAGAAACTATAACTTGAGTTGTGTTACAGTGGGCTGTTTTGGAAGTAGACTTGTGGATGTAAATGTAAAACTCTGGTAAGAGTCAGAAGGTTCAGGCTTATTTTATGATTTCAGATCATAAAAGTAACATATTGAATAGGGACGGGCACTTCCCACTTAAGGGTAGAAATGAATAAATTCACTGCTAAGCTAAATACTCATGCTTTTAATCATCCTTATTTTTTAATAAAAAAATAGTAAAAAGGAGGACTACATTTAAGAATCTTTTAGTTAACAGACACAACAATATAGACCATCTTGTTTAGTCTGTTGATTAACCAGTATGGATTCACATTGATAACAATACCAAACATACTTAGGGAAAAAAAATAACAAAATGTAATAGTATAAAAATATGGAGGCAGATCATGTTGCATTTACCACTTAATTGGCAAATTTGGAGCTCAGTGGAAGAGATAATGCAATTGAGCCTATTGATCAAGGCAGTGGAACAAGCTATCACACAGCCTGTGACAAACCCATCTGTACTCAATATATCCAAAGATTAAGTAAAGATCTTCACATTTTGAAAAAAAAAAAAAAACCTTTCCTGACATTTGGGTTTCTAATAAATACAGACATTGGACTTTATCAAGGAAATGGCTGCTTCCAGAGTCATGCCCTGAAAACTCTTATCTTCAAAATGCTATTCCTTAGGAGAGCATTAGAGGGCCACATAACAGGAGGGGTCCTTAGGATCCATCCTCCAGGATTATGGAGGAGAAGACAGAGTTAGCCAGCTCTTTGTGTGTGTGTGTGTGTGTGTGTGTGTGTGTGCAGATTTCAGGATGAGGGAAGAGGCTGAAGGAGTCTGTCTGGGGTTTAACTCTGTAATACTATCCTCCTTGACTCCCATGGCCCAACAGGCATCTCCTGATGCACATTTAAATGTAATTTTCTCTTGTGGGTTTATCTCTCACTATACTTTTGGTGTTTGGTGCTGGGAGCAGGGGGCTAGCCTAGATTTGGAAACAAGATTCCTCAACTGAGCACTCTAATGTTTCTTGTTTGTCTAGTACAGAATTTCCTGATCTTTATGGACAGATGCCATGAGGAAGATAATCAAAATACTTGCTGAGATTCTGAAATATAAAACTTGAAGTTGCATAGAAGTTTCTCCATCTATTCACATGTCAACCCACAGCCACTATCTACCATCTACCCATGCATCTTCACAGCTTCCATCCCTCCATCTATCCATTCATCCATCCATCCATCCATCCATCAATCCTTCTCCCATCCATCATCCAACACCCAACCATCCTACATCTGCCCTCTCTCTTTCTCCATTTATCTCCCCACATCCATCCATCCATCTGTTTACTAATTCACCCATCCATCTGTCCACCCACCTGTGCTAATTATTTTATGAAGATCTACTCAGTTTTATTAACTATTCTGTAATTGGCCATGGGAGAGAACACAGACACATCAGCACAATCAAAAGGCCAATGACTTAGAGTGAGTTGAGTAATAAAGGAATCACCCGGAGTTGAAAATTCTCAGACTACTAACCATTAGCAACACTCTTTAGAGACTCAGACAGCCAACAGAGAAACTCTCAGCCTGGCCTGCTCTGTGGGAATGTTGGGATCTGGTTCCTCCCTCTGCAATGTGAGGAGGAGGATGATTATCCTTCCTCCTGGCTGCTCTACCAGGGTCATTCCTTCTTATTGATGCTGTTCTCCATCCTTCCTCAGTCCTGTCAGCACAAGTGAGGAACTGTACAATATCTGACTCATGGTCGCTTCACAGCCCACTGAAGGTTTGCAAAATTTGACACCTTGTTAAATTGGCATTCAGCTGGGCCGAATCTGTAATCAGGGCACTTCTTGAATATTTTTTGTTTATGTCACTGACTGTAGCCAATATCCATAAACTCTCGTGCCAGTGGTTACTAAAATTTGTCACAGAAAAGGAAAATTCGGAATAAACTCAAAATTTATAAGAAGAGCTGCATAGACGTGTACTGTGATTTTTATTACCTTCAGCAGCTTTGCGTGGAGAAGCAAAGTGTAAGCTGCTTCTGTGTAGTTGTCACACTCTTTGTGCAGGTCACAGAGCTTGTATAAGTACCTGGTGAAGAAATAAGGCTACATTCTTAAAGCGTCACAAGGTAATTTGTGTTGAGGACTGCAGGTGCTAAATTCGACATTCAACAGTAACTCATGGCTATACTTTCCTTTTACTATGTTCATAATTCACAATGCCTTGAAAACTGTTGGTGTAGAAATCACTAAAAGAACTGGCAGGAATAAGTGTAATAATAATAATGCACACACATGCATATATATGTATATCATACATATATAAATAAAAGTATATATTGGCATACACATATACAAATATATAATTTTTAAGTCATCTTTGTAGGAAAAAATGAAGATACCATATAAAGGTAAGAATTTTATTTCAAGGTTCCTTATTTCTTTCATCTTTCTCAGTTTTTTTCTCAAACATTTGAAATGAGATTAAACAATCGAGATTGTGCATTTCTTTTGAGTCAAAATACACACACACACACACACACACACACACACACACACACACACACACCATAAAGATCCAGATCCACATGATAAAAAAACCTGTGATGACAGCAAATGAGATCAAAAGATTGTCTGTGCTGTAGGAAGAAAAGGATGCTCTTTACTATAAAGCCAGACACATCTGGATCAAAGAGGCTGGTTGTTTTCCTAAGATTATTATATTCATATGGTATGTTTTAAAAGGAAAAACAACAAAAAAAAGGTAAGAAGTAAAAAACCACACAAGCACACTCTCTCTGTAGCAGCACACAGTCAAGCTGCCTGTCACGAAGATGCCAGGCCAACCTGATTCTCAAGTGGCTTGTCACCTTGCTGATTAGTGACCACGAGATATAGCACACCACTCTAAGAAAGTGCTTTGATCTTCCAGTGATGCTTGGGATCAGACCATGGTCCTCCCCAAGCTCGACCCCAGTGGACTATGACCTCAGTATATCTTAAAAGCAAATAAAGAATCAAGTCCAGATGGCCACACAAAACATTTCTCTTGTGTGTGTGTGTGTGTGTGTGTGTGTGTGTGTGTGTGTGGGTGCGTGGGGACAGAGAGAGAGAGAGAGAGAGAGAAAGAGAGGCATGTGGAAATAGGGTACTAGTTAAAGTGAGAGTGAACTGCAAAATTGTATTGTCTACTTTTTAGAAAATTTATATTTTTTATTTAATAACATGACTTACCAGGAATACATTTTTTTTTTCTAAAAGGGTTGCATTTGTTGATCAATAGGCACAAACACCTTCTTAAATAACCATGGAGACTGACTTCCTAACTGGCTAAATGTTGCCCCTCTTAACCCAAACTTTACATAGGCATGGGCACACTGTATAAAGGCTGAGAGCACAGCTGAGGCTCTGCCAGATTTCACCTCAAAGTCACCATGACGTTCTACAAAAGCAGCTCTTCAAGGTACAGACCACTCCTTCACATGATTTGACACACACTGTGGTGAAAACACACACACAAAGGGTAGTGGCCTGCAGCACACAAAGGATGGTGGCCATGGTGGCACACATGTACCTTACACACATCTCATAGTGATTGCAATGCACACAGAGGATGACAGCCAGCATGACAATTACATCCCTAACATACATCTCACAGTAATTACAACACACAGAGGGTGCTGGCCAGTGTGGCACACACAGAGGGTGCCAGCCAATATGGCACATGCCTACCTTATAGAACTCACAGTAATCACAATGCAGAGGGTGCCACCAGAGTGACACACACGTACCTTATATACATCTCTTCTCTTTCAATTTCTTTGTAGAAATTCTGAAAAAGTAAGTCATAACATTGTTTTAAGAAACTGACTCCATTACATAATACAACACAGAGAACAACAAAACAAACATTGAAACTACAACTCATCAAAACAGTCCCACATTGTGAATCCATAGTTCATTTATGATTGGCACATCCCGTGGACCAAATCCATGCTGAGTAGAGTTCTCAATTCACCTGCACTCTGAGCACCTCACAGTATTCCCGACTTTTGCTTTTGTAATGACCACATCTCAAACGCTTCAGACCCTTGAGGACTAAATCTATGTGTCATTCAAAAGTCACCCATCTTCAGTAAAATCAAGGTTCTGACTGAAAACATGAACTCTTAATCATTAGACTCTCATTTAAATAAACAATCCAAAATTGTGAGTAAGGAAAGGTACCATCAAAGATGTCAGCATGCTGGCACCAACCTCTGTGAGAGACACAGAAGCATGGCGACATTCTTGTTCTCACATGTCCCTAACCGTTAGCCACATATATTAAGGTAAGGACAAGTTAATTACTTAACACTGCCACCCTTCTCTTCTACAAGGGGCTGTTGTCACTATCGTGAGCAGTGTTGAAGCAGAACATCCTGCCCTCCCCCCATCAACCCATGATGTTTCCTGGAGAAAATCCATTGTTTTAGAAAGATAGACCTTCTAAACCATAGTGAGAAAAATGGGTATTCACTTAAGAAAGGAAGAAAGGGAAGTAGGGAGGGGGGAGGGAATGCAGGCAGGCAGGCAGGCCCTCATACACAACCCTGGAGGAGAAAAGTTGGTTGGTGAATTCTATCTAGTAAGAGGCCTAGTTCTACACATTACTGTAAAATATCATCTAATTCAATGTTTATACCAAAATAACACTTCCGGTGAGCATGGCAGCACACATGTATAATACTAGCCCTTGGGAGGCTGAGGCAGGTTTGGGCCAGTGAGGACTATATAGAGAATGTCACACTAGTCTGGTGACACAGTGAAACCCTGCCTTACTCTTCCCTCCTGATAACATTTCTTCTTCATGTGGACTACTTTATATACATGAAGTCATGCATAGGACACTACAAAGGTACAAGAGTCAACTCACAGGGCCTGTAGGATGGAAGCACGAGAGCCATTTCTTTTCTGTATTAGTTTTTTTTTTTTTTCATTTTCTTGAGAATTTCATACATGCATACAATGAAGCATGATCATATCCAATGACTAGTTCCCCCTTGAACTCTATCCCAAATGCCCCCCTGTTAACTCCATGTCTTCTTATTCTCTTTTGAATAACCCATTAAATCTAATTAATGCTGTCACATATGCATGGCTGAGGGGCCATCTACTGGAGCATGCAAGCTAGGCCAGTTGACACCTATTCATTCTTTTTCTTTTTCTTTCTTTCTTTTTTGTTTTTGTTTTTGTTTTTCGAGACAGGGTTTCTCTGTGGCTTTGGAGGCTGTCCTGGAACTAGCTCTTGTAGACCAGGCTGGTCTCCAACTCACAGAGATCCGCCTGCCTCTGCCTCCCGAGTGCTGGGATTAAAGGCGTGCACCACCAATGCCCCGCTTCATTTTTTTTTCTTTTAAACTTACTGATTTTTTTTATTTTTCAAGAATGAATCTCCCAGCTGGGCATTGATGGTACATACCTTTAATCCCAGCACTGGAAACAAAGGCAGGTGGATCTCTGAGTCAAGAGTAAGTACTAGGACAACCAGGGCCAACAGAAAAACCCTGCCTCGAAAACCAAACAAAACAAAGAAAGATTCTCCCTCCACTAACAGCTATCATCTGGGGATCTGGCAAATATCAACATTACAAAGACACACAGTGACCCAATAAGACAAGTTGGTTTCATAGGTCAAAAAGGACACTATTTCCAAGACACAATCTCTCTGGAAAGAAAGGATGGAAACATGTAGACAGAGCAAGCAGAGTCATGTTCCAAAGAACCTAGTTTTACCTGATGCTGTGCCTGACACTGGAGGGAGCTTTGGCTCCTATGACGCACACGGTAATGAGGATATTTTCAGCTACAAGTCAAAGACCTAACAGAGGATTCAGAGCGAGCAAACACTTCCTTCCCACCTCTCACTCACAGCATTCAGAAGTTATGATGTCACAGCAGCCTTTCTTATGCCCATCTTTTCAATTCCCTCCTACTATTTTTGGTCCCTCATAGATTGTCCCTTACAGTTCTACAGTGATCTTATCCTGTGACCCTCATTTGCCTCTCAGAGACACGGGCTGCCTCTTATCTTCGGCCCTTGCTGAAGTCTGTTATCATCTTTGGACTTCAAAACGCCTCTAGGGGTGAATATATAATAAATATATAGTAATATAACATGGAATATTATATAGTTGTATATTATATATTTCTATATATGAACTTGGCAATGAATGTTTAGAGATAGAAATTTTTAAATGTATTATTATTTTTTTGATTTTTAATCTGTGTGTGTTTGTATGAGTTTGTGCAACAGTGGAATGTGTTCTTAGCTGCTCAGCCAATCTCTCCAGATCCTAGAGATGGGAGTCCCATCGGTAACATTCTAGCTTCTTTTCCCTCACTCTCACACATTTACATTCCACAGAGATGTGCTCAAACCGGGCAGGATCCATCCCATCATCCCTGGGGATGGTGAGAGACTAATGTTTCACTTTTCAGGCAATGACACAGGCTGCTTCCTGGTGAGGAAGTTAATCACCTTGGGAATTCTGGGTGGCTCCGAACAGACAATAGCAACAGCAGGTGGGCACTGAGTGAGCCTCCAACTTCAGAAACATGGCTGCAGGTGTCTTTCCAAAGGCCTGTTTCCCAACTGTGGCCACTGGGATAAGATGCCAAGCTGAGCTTGATGCCATCTCTCTACCAGGTGTTATGTCCCCCTAAGCTTAAAAAACACACTGAGAGCTTAGTCATTTGTGTTGGAAGCCTAATGAGAATTTAGTAATACTTCTTCCTTCTAGATGCTAAGCAGTCTCCCAGACTCCCTTAAGGATCACAGTGCACACTCACGCGACAATCACATCCAGGGACTGATTGTGAAAAGGTCTCTATATTTTTTTCCACAGGGAAATGCCAGTCCATTCATGTCAGCCTCACTAGGCTCATCACTTGGGGAAGAGGTAAGGACACACAAAGATGCTGAAAGCAGGGTCAGCTGCTCCCCTGTGCCTACAGGCAAAGGCCATCTTAGCAGGCAGTCTACATGAATATAAAGAGCCAGATGGACAGACCTCAGGAACAGACATCATACACATAGGAGCCATGTGCAGGCCTATTAACCTGCTTAGATTTCTTTTTGAGAAACTTTTAACTGTACTAATTCTTCTGTTTTTTTTGTTTGTTTGTTTTGTTTTGTTTTTTTGATTCTTTGAGAATTGTTTACAATGTATCTTGATTATCCACGCTCTTCACTCCTCCCAGATCCACTCTTTCCCTACCTTCCCAGTTTTGTGTCTACGATTGTTTTAAACCTACCAGGTCTCATTTGTATTGCTCAGCCAATCCTGGGCATGTGGCTATCTACTGGAGTGTGGTTGACTTGTAGGCACCAAACTCTTACAGGATCACAGATAGTGACAGACTACAATGTTTTCTGGAAGTAAAAGGGCAGTTGCTCATATGAACTCACAGCAACTGTGACAGCATGCACGTGGCCTGCACAAACTCTACCCAGACTCAGTCCCAGCATGGAGAGAGGAGGTAGGCACGAATTCTCTGCCCTAGCTGAGGAGCTGTTGGCAACTGACAACTGCTGGAAAAGGGACAATCAGCCAGTTTTCTTTAAGGGTGTAGCATCAACTTAGACTTTGAAGCTCACTAAATTCTTCCCCAACCATGTCCCCGTTTGAGGAACTATCCAAGGCATATTTCACTATGTGAAGGTGCCTAAGTTTCCAGAATTTCTTTCTGATTCTTGGGTGTTTTGCATGTATCATCTATCTGTTCTTACATATTGCCATCTTTCCCATTAGAGTCCTCAGTTGTTTTAATCTTTTTTTGTATGTGCATGTATGCATGAATTCATATGTATGTGGACACCTGTGTATGCACATGTAAAGAGGCTAGAGGACAACCTTGGGTGTTGTTCTGTAGATATCAGCCATCTTTAAAAAATATTATTTATTATGTGTTTATGTGTGTGACTGTATACTTGTGTATACGTGTGCAATGGCACACTCATACACCATGACACATATGTGGAGCTGACAGGATAACTTGAGGGAGGTGTTTTCTCCTTCCATTAGATGGATCCTGAGGATGGACATGGGTTATCAGATGTAGCAACAGGCACCTTGCCCCTCCCACTTTTGAGGCAGGGGTTCTTACTGGCCTGGCTCTTGAGCTCCATCTCCCAGGGCTGGGATTTTAAGCATGTGCCACCACACCCAACTTTTTTAGTGTGAGTTCTGGGGCTCCAGCGCAGATCCTCAAGCTCTGTACTGATTGAACCTCAGCTCCCCAGTCTCCTCAGTCCCCACAGTTGTTTGAAATGTCTGGACCAAAAGCTGTAAAACCTCTGTTGTGTACATGTCTGGCTATGGTGGCTTCTCTGTCCCTTAAACTGCTCTTTGTTTTGAGTCTGGCTACTTTAGGCCGAAAGGAATGTGATACCCAGCTACAGTTTCTGTGCTCCTGGATTTCAGCTCTGGCAGCTGGGACTGTGGATCTATCTCCCTGGTTCTCCAGATTCGGGACCACTTGCCTATCTAAGGGGATGGATGTTGGAAGAACTGTTTGTCTTTCAGTTTGTTCCTTTTTCCTTGCTGCAAAGAGAGTGATGATTCCCAAGCTCTTTCCACCACTGACAGACATCAAAGAGGGGTTGCGATTGCACAGGCACTTTCAGGAGATGCTCTTCATGGTCAGATAGAGACTACATATATGCTAAGGGAAACAGAGAGTAAAATGACCCTTCTGCTTATCTTTTTGATTCAAATATCCTGAGGGCTTTTCTTCCTTCCTTTAAGATTTAGTTTATTATTTATTTATAGGAAAGTATGTATCTCTCTGTCCATGCATGAGTGTCATGAAGAGGACCAGAAGAGGGCACTGGATCCCCTCTACAGTTACAGGAGGTTCTGAGATGTCTGATACTGGTGCTGAGAACTGAGCTCAGGTCCTTTGCAAGGGCAAAACTCACTCTTAACCACCAAGTATCTCTCCAGCCTCTTCTGAATTTTCTTAATGTATTGTGTGTGTGTGTGTGTGTGTGTGTGTGTGTGTGTGTGTCTGTGCGTGTGTTCAGAGGCCAGGTTTGTGTTCTCTACTTTATCCCATTGACATAGGGCCTGTCACTGAACCTGTGGATTGGTGATCATCAAACCCCAGAGATCCTCCTGTCTCTGCCTGTCACAGTGCTGCAGTTACAGGCACACACACTACTCTGCCCAACTTTTTGTTTGTACTGGGAATGCTAACTTGGGGGGGGGGGTTCAGGCTTGCATAGCAAGTGCCATTACTCACTGGACTGTATCTCCAACCCTTTTCGAAGAATGAATGCTGTACCACATTCCTCCTGACACAAAAGTCCATTCCAATGACCCCAGAGCACTTGTAAGTCACATAGATGGCAGATATGGAAGTGGAGGCTAAGTGTTTGCATGCTACCTAATGACTGGGTCATGGCCTGAAATCAGAAGGCCAATGACTGGGGAGAACAGTGAGGAAAGTTAGGCATGGTAGAAAGAGTTTTGTCTGGCATTTCTGCCTAGAGACATCTGAGAGAAGCAGAGGAGAGTCATGGCCAGGAGTCAGCCATTATGGCTCCTTAGGAGGGTACAAAGAAGCCAGATTGGGAGTGCATCCACACAGAGAGACACGAGATTGGCCAGCCACTCCTTAGACTTGGGCTTAGGTATCATCAAGCGCCCTAAAAGTGCACCAAGCCTCCTGCTCTTCCTGGATATACCTTAAGAAGGATGTGCACCAGGAAGGGTGTCCATAGACCTAACTGCATTGCAGTCATAGCAGGAACATACAAGGTCAATGATAACCAGATTCACCCAGGCACCCTCCATCTGCTCTAACAAATGACCATACACTGGGTGGCTTCAAAGAGCACAGAAACCATCCTCATACTCATGGAGTTCTGAAGCCAAAATGTCAGTAGGTCAGCCATTTCTTGATCTTTTCAGTATGTAGAGAGTCTTGGGGTTCTGAGGACTGTCTTCATCACTCTAATCACTGGTCTCTGTTCACAAGGCTTCTCTTCTGTATGTGTTTGCTTTCCTTTTTTCAGGGGGCAGGGGCTGAAACAAGGTCTTATGTGGTCTACACTGGTCTCAGAAATGCTATATAGCTGAGGCTAGCCTTGAACTCTCATGATCCTCAGGCCTCCACTCCTAAGTGCACCATCATGCCCAGCTTGTTTTTCTTTGTATAAGAACTCCTGGGAATGGGTTTAACCCTTCCCTACCTAGGCATCCCAGGCTAATCTCATCCCAGGTTTCAGTGTGGATGTGTGAGTTCAAGTGAGAGGACAATAAGCTCAGCTGCCAGTCATTCCTCAGCTGCTGCCCGCCTTGTTGTTGATGCTGTTGTTGTTTCCTTTGAGATAGAGTCTCTTATTGGCCTGGAGAGTACCAACCTGGATGCCCAGTGAGATCCAGAAATGCAACTGCCCAACTGTCTTTACTTCACCAGTGCTGAGATTATACACCACCATGCTTGGGATATTTTTACATGAATTCTGGAAGATTGAACTTGGGTCTTCAGGTTAGTAAGGCAAGTACTTTACCGACCAAGCTACCCTCACCTCCCAGGCTCTGATCGGCCGAGACTCCTTTTTTCCAAAGAGGGCCATATTCGCAGGACTAAGGACAAATACACTCACTATAGCACATTACTCTGATCTAATACAAGCCGGAGTCTTCATATCTGCAATTCACAAGGTGCTACCTCGGTAATGAAAGTAGATGGCTTGCTACCCTCAGCCACAGGGAGTACATTGTGAAGACATCCAGAAGGGAGCCAAGCTCTCAGCCTGGCTGAGAGCAGACATGCAAGCAATTCTCTGTCCTTCTTCCCCTGCACCAAAGAGGACTCCGTGTGTGTGTGTGTGTGTGTGTGTGTGTGTGTGTGTGTGTGTGTGTGTGTGTGATGCTGTGCTGTGAAGTGTTCTATGGCCAGCTGTCCTCTGGGCTCCAAAATACCCTGGCTCCACTTGCATTCAGCATGCTGTGAAGATGGAAGGTTTAATTAACTTTTTGCTCACCAGCACGTTGACTGTGCAGCTCATGCGATTTTCTTTGTTTTCGTCATGCATGATGGTCCTGTAGTCCAGGAGCCTCTCCATCAGCCGCACCACGAGCTTCACAAAAGTTTCCCCTGTCTTGGCGAGGTATTTATGCTTCCTGCAGTGCTCCAGGAGGCTGAAAAATAATTACATACACCTTGTTAATCACACTCCAAGAAAGAAACTTGAGGTGTGGTTTAAAATATTTCCCATTATTAACACATTTTAATTATTTCTGGGCTACAAAGTTCATTGTAGTCTAATTACAAGTCTCTCTGTCTCTCTCCTGACATAAATCCCACCGAGAATCAACACTTACATTTTATCAAATAACACTTTGTATTGCTCGTCTCCTCTGCCTCCTTCCACTTCATGATCCAGCTTAGTGATGATCTCATTTTCAAACTATAATTAAACAGAGGAAGCATAAATAATTAGCATGGCAGATACTCCATTTTACGACATGGGCCCGCAATCACTTCTACATCTTTGGGATCACTGTCGGATGGTTACCCTCTGCCTTTGAAACCTGATTTCATTTCAGAGATGCTGTCCCCAAGCTCTTGCAGGCATCTGATGACTCCCAGCCTCAGAGAGAACCTTCTCTTTCTATTCTAGTTACCGGAGCCTGGATGCATGTATCTCAATAGCAGGAGTAAGAGGCATAGAAGGAAAGTGAAGCCAACTGTAGGAAATGGAATCAAGGAGTAACGGAGATACTAAACTTTATCTCTACAAACAAACAACACTTGAAATAGGGTGTCGATTCCCGGAGGGAACAGATGGCATTTCATTTGCTAGGTTAGCTTTCTCGGCAATCTGAAAACATTCACGGGGCCACTTCACTGCCACTCTGTGACAGATCTCCAATTCAAACAGGATTGCAGAAGAGTCCAAAAAGAGAAATCAGCAGTCACCTTTAGATGGTTCATCTCCAGGCTCACCCTATCCTCCCCAGAGCTGCTGACTGGATAGCATGAGCATCAAAGTTGACTGAATATCTCTCAAATCCAGACTTAAAAAAAAAAAAACTCTAAGTTTTAGGAAGTCAGAAATTCCCAGAATGTTTCTAGAGCTCACTGCAATGGAAATAAACACCTTCATAATCACAAATTTCCACCAATTCCTTCCCTGATAGCTGGGTGACACCCAGGTCAAAGAGAAACTCCAGGTTACTAGTGAGGGTGTTAGTAGGCAGGCAAGGCTGGAGAAGCATGGGTTCTCACACAAATGGAGGCATCCACATTCTGAACAAAGGAAGGCAAGCAAGAAGGAAGCAGACAACTAAACTCAGAGTCATAAGAATGACAGCCAGGTGACAGTAGGCGTTTTCCCTTAGTGACTGCTGTAGTGAGGCTTAGAGATGAGCCTGAGACAGTTGTTCTCATGAAGTGACCATAAAATATTGCACATAAAATATTTGTCTGGTGTTTTGTCATGTGTTTTGAAATAGGGTCTCATGTAGCCCATGCTGGCTTCAAAATCAGTATGTAATGACAGATGAACTTGGGATCCTCCTGCCCCCATCTCCCAAGTGTGCCACGATGCCAGATTTTATGGAATGCTGAGGATAGAATCCAGGGTTTCCTGTATGCCAGGCATGCCCTCTACCAATTAGCTACATCCCTAGGGAGGCAGGGAGTTGAGGCTTAAGGTAGATGGAGCTCAGGAGAGCTTAGTATATCAGCAAAGAGTGGGCTGGTTGGTACTGAAACAATTGGCTTTCTGAGCCTTGTCCAACCAAGCCATAGACATGGGTCACTGACAGGGGGCTTGTGAAATGCTACTGTGGTGGTGGCAAAATGGTGGGCTCTGGAAAAGTAGAAAGCAAGGCCCAGGGAAGAGCCTGCAAGGTGGCACAGACTCTCCTGTAGCAGGTTTTCTTGGGCCACCAAGCCCCAAATCATGACACTGAGACTTACTAATAATACGAAGGCTTTTTTTCTTTAAGTTAAATTAACCCATTTCTATTAATCTATGTGCTAAGGCTCATTTACCTCATGCATGTACTGCCCGTCCTGTCGTCCTGCTTCCTCTGTGTCTGTCTGTCTGGCTCTCCTTTTCTGTGTTCCCACCAGCCTCTCCTATCCCCGCTCTGCTAGCTACTGGCCATTCAGCTTTTTTATTAGATCAATCAGATGCCTTTGGCAGGCAAAGTAAAACAGCAACACATCTTTACCTAGCTAAACAAATGCAGCATAAACAAATGCATCTTTACATAGTTAAACAAATATTCAATTCCACAACACTTTCCCATTCTCATCAGGATGCTGCAGTACCCAGAGCCTCACTTTCATCCTGCTGTGCAAACATAAGATGGGGCAGGAGGGGTTGAGGTTGCTTCTTGCTTAGCACTAAAGACTTGGCAGTTTCCCAGCCACCTTGGCCTTTCTGAGCTCCTCATTCTTTCTGATCTTCTCACACTCTCCTCCCAGATAAATACCACTTTTTTGATCGTCAGGCTTAAGAAGTTCAAGGCTTTTAGAAACAGAGATGGTTTCATTGAAGGAAGAGATTGACTTTTCTTTTTTCCTTTTTTTTCAGTGTGGAGTCTTAAGAAAAATACTTTCGTTATAAAATGACTACCTTGTGCTACTCGCCTGCAATGACTCTACTCTTTGAAAAGGATTCATTCGAGAAGCCATTTGCTTTGGACCCTCACAGAAGGGAGACCTCTTACAATTAGCCCTGAGATGGCATTTCAAAGCAGTCCCATATTTCAGGGGAAAACAGAATGAGATGCCAAAGATCAAACATGTGCGATTCAGAACAAATAGTTGAGATCTAAAAGAGAACCAATATCTTAATTCAGACATACACTCAAGCATCCATATTTGAGGAATACAACTGGGAAAGTATAGAGAATTCATAATGGAAGGACTTATCCCAACACACACATTTAAAATTGGTCATCCTTCCCTGGTCACAAGGCTGTGGGTCCTACGTTATGAAAATAACATGCTTTCTCTGCTTCCGTGTGTAAATTCAGCTTTCACTCACACTTGGACAACGAGGATGTTTTGGCTCCTTAATATTCTGCTCATCAAACTTTTCTGAGGAATTTAATGTTTTCTAAAGAGAGTGACTGAATGGTAAGTGCGCCAGAGCACAGCGGACTCTAGATTTACCGAATGCCAGTCTAAGGTAGAGCATCTGCACAAACACCTGGCAATTCTGTCACCTACCAGCAAGGCTTACTTACAGCAGCAGGGCTCTTCAGCTAGCCTCTCATTTCCGTGTCTTCATTCGTTTTTACAGCACATACTAGGATCAATATGCTAGTGTACTGTGACCTGTTATCATAATCAGAATTAAGCGGCCCCATCCCAATAAATTGGAGACAGTCCATTTGCTGACAGAGCAGGGCTGCTTTTTATAAAGGTCATGTTTATTGTGTCCCTTGTCAGGCTGTACTGTGGTAACAGGCAGCAGGGCTCTGTGGCTAGGATAAAATTAGAGTGTGGTTATTGTGCTACTCAAAAGGTGGCAGAAGCTCACTCACTGATGCAATAAGCAGAATCATTATATTTTCTTCTTCTTGAAATCACCAATATTGCTACAAAATATCCAGTGTCTCCAACTTAAAATATGGAATAAAGCCTCTCAAGTCTCTGATAGCAATACCTCTCCCCCCGCCCCCGAGAACATTATATGTAAGAGACCATCCATCCATGGCATTCGGAAGGGTGCTTTTCAACCGATGCTGATGGGCTGTCCTCACAGTGGCATTGATGTTGTGAATTCAATTAACTTTAGAAAAAAAGCTATTGCTTCCCATTCTTTCTGCCAAAGTCAGCTCAGGGCTACTGGATACTATTTCAGAGACTACGAAGCGGGGATCCCAGCCACAGACCATCTTAAAGCCTATGATAATTCATTTGAAATATGTAATTTTGGGTTAGGTTTATTGCTATTAAAAATCATGCTTTGTGTGCTTATGTTTCTATCTACTGAGCCACCTTACCAGTCTTACTGCTATCACTATAATATATTTATACATGTATTTAATCAAACCTGCATTGTGTTCAGGATTATTTATCACAAAGATCTGGACACAACTAATTCAGCATACAGACAAAGGCTCAGAGCTTATCAAGAGCTGGTTGAGATCATAAACTGATGAGTGGAACCCGCTGCATCTAATAACAAAAGAGTTTCTTGGTAAATGTTGCCCTCTGTCCAAAGTGCTCTACTTTTGTTCTCATGAAAACAAGCCCAGAAGACACTGCAAGGTAGGAGCTTGGTGCTTGGCCACTTTCTGGTTTCAGAGAGCACCAAGGAATCTCCTCTGTTGTCTCCTCTACCTCCAGATGGAGCTCAGCCAGTCTGCTGGAGCCATGCAAACTTCCTCAAGGGATTTACCAGAGGGCACAAAAAACAGAAAGATGGTTGACTGAGTCTGGGTGGAAAATACGGCCCTGAAGAAGCCTCAGAAGGCACAAGCCACTGCTTTAAAAAACCTCTGTCTCCCAGATCTCCTGATGACATCTTAACAGTGACAGGTTCTCCAATCTGTCACTTGGCCTTTAATCCCTGTGCTCAGACACATTAATATTTTTATGTAGATTGCATTTATCTTCCCTAACCTCTGAGTAAACTTAATTACACACTTAATTAATCACTAGGATTTCATCCCATATTTAAAAACCTCCATATTTCCCCTGTCTATCAAGTATGCAGCTCCCTGACCTTGAAGCTTGTCTCACCTGCTCTTGACCTGAGAGACTCCAAAACTGTACCCTTGGGGTAGGGAGGCCGGCTGCCTGGACTGCCTGGCTGAGATACCTTGCAGACGCTCACAACTCAGCCTGGAGAGGCACAATTGGCTGGGCACAATTACTGTGAACTCAATGAAAATGGCCTCAGAGAGAGTCAAGGTTGACTTAGTTGAGGGAGATTATGGGAAGTTGAGTACATCTTTGCTGGAAGGCTTTAAAGAACAGGATCCACTATAATAGGAACTCTTGGAGTCAAATGTATTAGTTGTCAAGATCTCTCAAGACCACCTTTGGGAATGAATTCAATGAAATCAAATCTACTCCCCATGCAATGGTTCCTCTGGAAGCAGCCAAAGCAGTATGACCACATATTGTTTAGAAATGAAGAGCACAGATCAACAAGCTAACAAATAAAACTCCCAATGAATTGGTAAATAAGCAAGATAAAATTTCCACCAAACTTATTCACATTCACAGCACAGTACAAATTGTACTGGCTTTTTAACCAAGTGGCAGAAGTTTCCAACATCCACTTGGGTTATTCAATTATTTGCTTAAGGTTAGCAGCATGGACAGAGGAGATTATTCAAACAGAAATTCAGGAACTGAGTTTCGGATGGCACCAAGATGATTCATGTTTATATTGTTACTACTAAATGGGAGTGTCTGGAGGTGGTGGAACAGTTTACTCAGATTCACAAAGATGACATGAAACAGCCCCATGATTGAGAACATAATTTCCCCTTTCCCACTGCAGTTTTTATCAATGGTATGTGGCCTATGTGGCTATTTGCTTACACTTCTCAGCTGTTAGCACTGTATTTTCCAAAGCTGTAACAAATGGAATTCTTTAAAAATATGTCAGGAGAGAATTTAAAGTTTTTTTTTCTTTCATTTTTATGTTTTGAAAGTAAAATGCAGTGTGAGGCTGAGATTCTGAGGGTTATGCATCTGGAAGGCTATCAGGAAGATGACAGAAAAGTCAGGGTAAGGCCAAGAGATGGTTCATCATCCCTTTACCAAGGCTGGGTGTGTGGAGGTGGGTGACAAATGGGGCAAGAAGATCCAGATGCCTCCTCACCACTCACACACTACTTTAAGATGGGGTGGAAAGTGGAATCAGACAGAGGACCATGAAAAGAGGGGTGAGTTGAGGTAGCATGTTATACTGAGAGTGGACAGAGAATTCCTGGAGGGAAACCATCAGGAGGGAATAATTTAGGTGGATGGGTGGGATGGGTGAGACTCTCCCATGTGTTCTTGCCTCTACTGCTTGGAGCACTCACAGCCAAGGAGGAAAATGGCATGCTCCAAAGACAGTATTGGGCAGGGAGGAATAGTGAGAGTGGGGATTTGGGGATGGGAGAGAACATGTGGCCAACCATGTCTTCCTTCCTCTGGGCTGCAGATCTGCTTTACTGGCCCATAAGGATGTATATACCTACAGCCAGAAGGGATTTCTGAAAGAACCCTATACTGCCTTGCATTTCAGATGCTTTTGTCTAGTCCAAGACCCCTCATGGTGGATCACAGCTCTACCCACTGGGGTCCAGTCCCTGTGCAACTTCGCCATAGATAGGTGACTTTTATTAGCATGAGGGATCCCATGTCCACAGGCTTTCCTGTTATTGTTGTTTTGCCTTTTCTAGACCTTTTTTGAGCCAGGGTCTTAGGCATCCCAGGCTATCTTCAAACTTGTTAGGCAGCTGAGGATGACCTTGACATTTTGATCCTTCTGCCTCCACCTCTATAGTGCTGGGATTAAACACACACCACCATGCACGGTTTATTCACTGCTAGGGACCAAACCCATAGCTTTGCACATGCCAGGTAAGCACTCTACGAACTGAGCCATACGCCCAGGCATAAAGAACTTCATGGAGCTGATGGCTCATGCTGAAATCTGTCCAGAATTGAAGAAACCAAGATGACTCAATGACCCAAGGTAAGGAATACAGCCTTAGAAAAGTCACAGACTACAGGAAGTCATAGTTCCTGAATGGGTAACTCTATGTGCCCCCACCATATCACTATAAGAGCCCAGCCAATGGAAGAACCTTGGAGAGACTGCACAGGACAAGGGCACCGGGATCTTGAAGGAAGTTTTCTGCTCTTCCAGGAACTGTAGTGGAAAGAACATGCTAATAAAATGCTACCACTGTGGCTGAGGAGTGCAAGGGCAACCACTCCAGGCAACTCTGGGAAAGCCAATTTGCAGCAGCACAGGCTTCTAAAACTCCAGTCATGGTTAGATACAATTTAATCTTGAGTCAAATGGAGGTTGCCCCCTGAACCCAGTAGGTCACCTCCAAACTCCAATTATGAGTCAACAATACAACCTGGCCACAATGCATATTTCACGAACATCAGCATATCAACTTCTCTGCTATGAAAGCACAATCTTTAGGAGATTCTATGTCCTGTGACCAAAACACTCAAGCTGCCTAAAAACAAAAAAACCCTAATGCCTTCCCCTCACTCCATTAGGTTTGTGCATCTGCTATAAAAGTGGAGGCAATTTAAGCCCTCACTGATGTGACTAATCAGGTTAGATAATTGCATCTGTGGTGGATTAGTTAAACAGCAGCCAAGCATCCCCATCCCAGCACTTATGGATGGAGAGGCAGGCTGAGCCAGCTGTGTCCTGGGGGCTGAGCATGCACTCAGTCAAGATGTACCTGCAGGCGTTGCCTATAAGCAATAGGGGCCATGCTTTCTGCTTTAAGAAAACAGGCTGACAAAGACTAGCCAACGCAGGAAGGTGCCAGAAGGCTAGATAAAGTCAACAGACAAATGCTGTGGTCCAGGGGAGCCCTGGTGTGGGGGAGCAGGGATGGAGAGAAGGATAAAGGTTTAGAGATGAGAAAGGGCCAGGAATGTTGAGTCTTCTCAAACGACTGTGATGACGAGGCAGAGAGGGCAAGCCAAGGCCACTGTAACTAACTTATGCTAGAAAACCAAGTGACCAGGACACCAGCAGAAAAATGAGTGATGGGGAAGGTTTGGGGAACGGCATCTTTCTGGGAGGCTGAGGTAGCTGATCTTTTCCCAACCCACAGGAACAGACTGACACGGAAGAGACCTGCTACAGTTTGCACCTCTAGAGTGCCGTCAAAAGCCATGTGATAGGTACTTGGTCTCTGGGAAACCTTTTATAGTGTGGGAGGTGTGTAGGCCAATAAGATGCATCTTCGAGGGATACCATGGCCTTAGCTCTTCCTTTTCTCTTCTTGGTCCTGGGGTGAGTGGCTTTGTTCCACTACTCTTCCAGTCCCATTATGATGAGCTGCCCTACTAATGGCCTTAAACAAGAGGGATAGTCGATCATGAACAAAACCCTCTCAAATGGTGAGCCAACACAAGCCCTTTCTCTTTATAAATGGATTATCTCCTGTATTTGTTCTGGTGAGCAGGGAAAGCTTACCATCATGAGATTGAGTCAACATACTTTACGGTTTTTGTCTTTTGGTTTGTTTCACTTAGAGAGTTGTCAAATCATGCAACCCTGTGTCTCAACACAAATGGGAAATGGCCAGAGAGTTTGCTGCAAAATGATGGAGTATGAGACCATGTTTGGCCTGATACATGTCTTTTTGTGATCTGCTTGTCCATGGCTGTGCTTTTATTTGCCTACATCCAAGCAAGGTGTGTGTGTTTTTAAAGTCATGAAATGCTTCCAGAACATGAGCTGGGATTCGGGGAGCATCACTTCTCTGTGGTATTACTCAGGAAGTTTAGCTTCCTGCAAAAGCAATGGACAGAGTCTGAATGTCCAAAACAAGGACAATATTTAGACTGGAGCCCCTGCATCTGTGGCTTTCATTAACCTCTCATTTTCCCGCAAACCTGGGGTAAACTAGAACAATTGGAGCACCTCCTTAGAAGACTGCTGTAGGATATTTAGAAACCACCACAATACAGCAACCAGACACAAAGACCACAAGAAGGGAAGAAGTGCAGAAACCCACCTCCCATTCATCTTCATTTCAGCAACCTTTGACCTTTGTTTTGACCCAAAGACTATGTTTAAAAATTGAGAAATGGTATAAGTGTTTTTAATGGTGTTTGATTTTAGTTTTCTGGTCTTGTGACATTTATCTATATAAATACCTTTTTCTCCCTTTACCTGAGGTTGTTTTTTTTTTTTTAATTTAATAGCAGTTTTTACAAGTCTTTATGCTTGGTTCATATGAAATTCAAAAAGTCAAATGAATTTTATGCCTGGGAAAAGTATCTTAGATTATAATTTATAGTTTCAACAAGCCTGGAGTGACACTGGAACCAGGCTTTAGAGGCAGTAGTGGTGGAGTCAGGTCAAAGCTTGTAGCAATAATATTAAACAATTTGGCAATAATGTCAAATGGTACAAAAGCATTTTGTTCCAAGATTGCATTTCTGAATATGTATACTGGGGAAACATTCAATATAAGTCAAGCTATGTGAATGAGCAGGTGCACAGTATACTGATTGGTAGTGGAAACTGGGAGGCCTAAAAAAGTAAATAGTTCCTGAAGTGTTATATCTCCATTAAAATTAGATTTAAAAATTATACACACGCCACATATATTATATTATGTATTATATATATATAGTGTGAATGGGTATGTATGTGCGGGAGTGCATAGCCCACCTGCAGAGGCCAGGAGTGCACAGCCTACTTACAGAGGTCAGGAGTGCACAGCCCATCTACAGAGACCAGAGTATAAAGCCCGCCTACAGAGACCAGGAGTGCACAGCCCATCTGAAGAGGCCAGGAGTGCACAGCCCACCTACAGAGACCAGGAGTGCAGAGCCCATCTGCAGAGGCCAGGAGTTCATAGCCCACCTGCAGAGGCCAAAGGGAGATATTGAGTGTTCTGTTCTCAGTCTCCACCTTATTCCCTGAGACATAACATCTCACTGTACCTAAAGCTCACCTTTTTGGTTAGGCTGATTAGCCAGCAAGCTCCTACAACCCATCCCAATACTGCCCCAGCTCAAGTATGTGTCAAAATTCTGGGCTAAGCTTTTTTTTTTTTTTTAACAACGGTTCTAGAAATTCAAACTCAGGTCTTCATGCTTGCACAGAAATGTTCTAAACACATTAAGCCCTCTTTCCAGCCTCAAGGGACTTTAATGTAGGATTTAATGTAAAGTCCATATAAATACCAGTAAGGGACAGTTAGAAGCTAGTTAGAAGGACCACCTTCCCCAAAGAGAAAGACAGAGAATGACAGATTCGTCAGTAAGGATGGTCACAGCCTTTACTGTGAGCTGTGGAGACTGTTTTTGTGTGTGTCACCTTTAGCTTTAGAATCATCTATGAATGCCTTCCAGTTTTTCTGTCTGTCTCTCCAGTCTTCACACTCTTTGCACATTTGCAGCCTTACCATTTGGAAGCTCCGGGTGGAGTGGAACTCACACTGCATCATGTCAAAAAAGATGGGGATGGTGGCTTTTCGAAGCTCCGTCTCAGGAATCAATGTCATTTCCAATATTGGGCCGACCATTTCTGGGATGAATTTTATTTTGTGTTGACCTTTCAATAAAGAAAAGTGACATCTGTTATCTTAAAAAGATGGGGTGGATTTTCAAAAGGGGTCTAAGAACACAGAACACAGCAACACAGACTGTGATTTTGAACGAGGATTTCCATGGTTGTGAACCCAACCTTGCTTGTAAGGAGTTTGAACACCTCAAGTCATGTATGAACTGAAAGCTGAGGGGATGGCTCAGTAGTAGGTAAAGCATTTGCCATGTAAGCATGCAGATTGGAGTTCAGAACATCATTACCCACATAAAAGCTGGGGGAGGCATGGCAGCACAGAGGAGGCAGAGACTGGATCCCTGGGGCATGATGGCGAGCTGGACTAGCTGACACAGCAAGCTCTGAGCTCAGTGAGAGACCCTGATTCAATAAATAAAGTAGAGGGCACAGAGAGATGACACTCTTAGTGAAACTATGGTTTCTACACACATGGAACATATGAGCATGCCATACCCATAAACACATGCAAAAAAAAAAATGAATAGAATTCCTGCTGCTACAAGAGAGCTACTTAAAAACACATTCCCTTTCAGTCTATTAGAGAAGGACAGGGATGGTCTAGTCTCCACATCTGTAAAGTGGAGTTGAGAAGGTTGAAATGTGAGGAAATCATGAGCAAGCAATGACACACTGCCCTCTAATTGTGTCTCAGGTCAGCAAGATAGTACAGTAGGTAAAGGTGTTTGTCACTGAGCCTAATGACCCATGTATGATCCCAGAGCCCACATAAAGGTAGAAGGAGAGAGCCGACCCTATAGGGTTATCCTCTCATCTCTACTCATGTGACATGGCATGTACCCTCCCATATCATGCACACACTTACAATAATAATAAAAATATTTAAAAACTTGTCACCCGTAGATATGTCTTACTCGGTATGTTTAGTGGTATTTGGTGGCACTATTGTATTCTTTTAGAGCAGCTGTTTCGATGTTTGTTTTGAGACAAGATCTCCCTATATATTGACCAGAGAGGCTGGTTTCACAAGAAGTCAACTGTAGCACATAAGTCAAGGACATGATCACCATCTGCTACTTGGTCAGACAGAGCAGGGAACTGGAGCTGGGAGAGCCAGCATTTGACAAGCATGGGAAGTGACACACAGAGAGTACAGATGGACTCTTAGGTACTTCTGTTTCCAAGATGGTGTGGAGAGGTGTGGTCCATGGGCACCTCTGTGAACTATACGACAACTTATGAAGCACTCTGAATGACTGCACACGGAGCCCTGACTGGGACAAGGGACTGCAGAAATAGTAGGGTTTACCACCTTGGGCTGCTGCTTGATAGGGATGCATTTATGTAAAGAACAGCTTTATTGGGCTTAGGAGATAAAGGACCTGCTTTGCAACAAGAAGACCCAAGTTTGAGCCTCAGAACTTAAAATAATGAAAAGCAAAGGTGTGGTGGGATATACTTGCATTCCCTGAACTGAGGAGGTAGAGAAAGTCGATTCCTAGGCTTCACTGGCCAGCCAAAGTACTTGGTGAGCTCTAGGCTCCTCTGTCTGTGCTGTCACTGAATTCAGGATGTTTGGGGAATGGCACAGATGCATGGGGTTTGATGAGAGTCAGGGAAGGCAAGGGGAGAAAGCCGTGGCAAGCCCTGGCTCCACAACCCTGCTGGCGAAGCTTCCAGGAAGCTCTCTACAGGGAGGCAGGCCGGCTGTGGTGGTTAATCTCTGTGGTCAGCCAATAACATCTGGAATTAACTCAAGCAGCTGGGTACACCTGTGAGGGATTTTTCTTGATTAGATTATTCAAAGTAGGAAGACCAACCTAAATCTGGGCCACATCTTCTAGTGGCAGTCTATTATAAAAGGACGTGGAAGAAGGAAGCATTTGCCTTTTGCCTGCCTACCTCACTCTTGCTGGCAAGTTCATCTATTATGTTGCTGAGGCATTCCTCAGCTGGTAATACAACCTACTTCTTTGGGATTCAAACATAGACTGGAGACCAGCAGCTCTTTAGGTCCTCCATGGGAAGCAAGCACAAGACTGGGGCTGCTGAGACATCCAGTTTCACGAACTGAACAATTATGTGTCTTGGCCTTTATATCATGAAATAGCAATGTGGGACTACTCAGACCACAGCCTGTAAGCCACTCTAAAACACACGTACATGCGCACACAGACACACACACACACACACACACACACACACACACACACACACACACACACACACACACGCACGCACGTGGGAGGGCACAGTTGTTCTGTCGGTTCCATTCCTTTAGAGAACGAGGACTAATACACCAGCTTGCTGAGGGAACATGATGAGGCAGGAGTGGTGCTCCCAGGCAGTGATCTCTCATCTTTCATTTTAGAATGCTCCCTTTATCTTCAAGCCACTGCACTGTAACTAGCATTGTCTCATTCCAGCACGTAACAGGAGGGTGCATGAGAAACGATACGCCTGAGTGAATTATTTGTGACATTTTCTTATTAACACCAGCCAGCTGATCTGGAGTTAATTAATCTTATTAATACTTTGACACAATCGGGAAACACAATACGGAATTTGCTTTTCTTTATAGCTCAACGAATGCAGACTTCTGTCAAGAGAGTCATTAAGCAAATGTGTCTATTATAAATAACCATACAAGAAAGCAGACCATTCTCATAAACCAAAAGATGTTTTTATGGAATGGACACTGGTACAAAGTGTGATCCTTGATAAGGAACCTGAATTTAATCAGAATCCAAGTTTTCCAAATTTGGCTCAATAGTTAATATCTTGTCTGAAGCTGCAATTGTGTGATTCTGCCCATTTCCCTTAATGCTTAATACTCTGGAAAGGCAGGCAAGTGCTGCAAAGTGGTCCCCTGAAAGTACCATTATATTCAATTCCTCAGGTGACATTTTCCTTGTATTATGCCTAAAAGATGTCAGAGCCAATGCTTCAGAAAACAGGAGATCGTGACAGCAAGTTGTTCATCAACTGTAATTTCAGTGTCATAAAGTTCTAGCTGTCACTCGCAGCTTTTATTGTTCCTAGCTGGGAAGATCATACAAGGCAGGAGCAGCCATTGGAAAACTAAGCTAAAAAAAAAAAATAAGGGCTTTATACCCATGCATTATCACCCTCTCTTTTGGTAAAGGAAACACACTGGGCTGGAATAGCCTGAGACCTCTGAGCAGTGACACCCCTGGGGACAGAGCTGTCACAAGTATATAGACCCTGATTTAGCAAGGTAGGTGGGGCTTTCTGATGCTTGTCATTTGTTTGTTTATTTAATTATTTTGGACACCCACATTTTGGGTTTCCCCTGATGTACATCAAGCTGAAATCTAATGACAGACCTGGATGTGGATCAATGACAGTCAAGGGGAGTCCTGCAGTTTTCTTTTCCTTTGGAGAGAAAGGAAGAGCAGGATGATTGTGATGGTTTGCAAATACCATAGCTCAGGTATTTGAACACTTGTTTTCTGGTCAATGACTCTGTTTGGGAAGACTATGGGACCTTTAGGAGAGGCAGCCTTCCTGGAGGAAGTATGTCACTGGGGGCAGGTTTTGAGAGTTTACAGCCTTGATCCACTTCCAGTTTGCTTTCTCTGCTTCCTGGGTGTAGATGGAAATACAATCTCTCAGCTTCCTGTTCCAGCAGCCTGCTGCCACACCTCCTCTGCCATTACTGACTGTCTCTCTGGAACCTTAGGTGACATGGATTGCTTCCTTTATATGCTGCTTTTGGGGGCCTTGTGTTTTATGACAGCAACAAAGAAGTACGTGAGGCTCTTATAACCACGGTGCAAGCCAAACAGTCTACCTTCAGTCTCCTTGTTGTATTTTCTACCCCTAAGACCTGCCTGGAGTTTCTATTCTAGTGATAGGATCTAGTGCTAACTCCTCTGAAAGTGACACCTGGCTTTCTCTAGAAGCCAGGCCTTTCTCAGTACCTTCCCAGGTATCTGGATGTTTGCCTTAACAGCTCTGGTGTTCAGAAATCCAGCCACTGTACAGGGAAATTGTAGAAAAACTGTGCACACAAGGATCACAGAACAGAACCTGCTACCATCTTCTGCTAGGGTCCACTGTACAGTATCCAGACTTAATGAATGGCAATCAGTTTGCACATTCCCCAAAACACCAGTGAAGGGGATCCCTACATGAAAAATAGCCCATGCCAAATAAGGTGCAAACAAGGTTTCTCTGTGAACACTTTTCTTCCAGCCAGATTGGGCCAGGGAGCATGTGCTGATTCCTGAGAGCTGGATGTAATAAACAAAAAGAGATGGTGGAACCAAGGTGAGAGGGAGATGAGGTGGCCCCAGAAGCCTCCTCCAAGCAGCTCTCATAAATAACAGGAGAGTAGGGTAAATGAACACATTTTTTTCCTATTTTTCTTTTGGAAGAGCATGGTCTTGACTTCCTCTTTTACATGTTGCATTCCGGGAAGAAAAGGCCTGTTACGCTGTCCCAGCCTGCAGGGCTGCTGGGGCACCACTGTGTGAGACACCCCTTTCCAAAGACCAAACACACACACACACACACACACACTGGAAGGGCAGGCGGAAGGAAGGCATCCAGTGCAGCGGTGGAGTGACAGGTGACTAATTCTGAGGTGAGGAACACATCTGATCCGACTTCTATTTTTATTTTCTTGGCAGAACTGGCTGTGTGTGCCTGCCAACATATTCCCAAACCTGAGCCCATTGGAAACAAAGAAAACAGGAAGCTATGTGGTGGAAAATAGGTTGTGCACATCCTGGGAAATCATGATGAGGTGCTATGAGTTTGGAGAGCAGCGACTTGCACAGTGCCATTGGCAGGCAGGCAGGCAGGCCTGGACACTGGGGAACCGCGTCAGGAAGGATCCTTGCTGGCCATGATGACCCCACAGAATCATTCCTAGAGCCTGCACACGGAAGATCCAAGGAGGAGCAAAGGACTTACTATTTGTCAAAACAAAAACAAAACCAAACAAAAATCCCATGAAATTCTCAGTTATTTGCCTAGCAGGAATCCAACCCTGGCAGTTATCCTTTCTTGCAGATTACAAATCCTTGTTCTTTAGTTGGCCAAGGTCATGGCTTTCTTTTGATCTCCTACTTGTTCTCACACCAAAGTTGATGTTTTGCTGTTGATGAGCAAGCTGTGAAACACTCAGGCATTAGCCACATGCTCACATTAGAGAGTAACAATCTGGGGAGGGGGGCACTGCCCCTCAGTTAGCTTTATTCTTGGCATGGTGAATCAAAAGTCTCTATTGCTGGGCTCATCTTGTTAGAACATAATGGCAGATGATGTCAAGAGAGTTCACCACTCTGGGACAGAATAGGAAAGTCTGAGACTGCAGGTTCCTGAGGAGGCTCTGTGGAGAACCTCACCCTCCCAAAGCCCCATGTTTCCTTCCTTCATGGCTGTCATGGCAAATGACATGGAAAGAAATGGGGTCGGGTTCAATGACAATCTCTGGAGCTTCAGCGGCACCACTGACAATACTTAAAAATAAACACATAGTTTGGCTCCTGGTGGAAGGAGAGGCATCTCCAGTGAGACAAATATGGGCAATGTGCACATGCTACTGGAAATAATTGTCACTCATGTTTCTGTAAGAGCCTTAAAGAAACTCACTGAGTAACCCCAAAAAGATAAAAAAAAAAAAAGGGCATAAAAGTGTGTGTGGGGGGGGAGGGGGACAGAATGGTATTAGTGGAAGTAAGAGGGAAAAAGAGAGGGTAGTGGGAGTGAATATTTTCAAAAAAATGTATAAAATAATAAACCAATTATTATATAATTGAGATAATATAATAAAACTAAAAATAAGAGCACAAAGATCGGGGTCAGCATTAAAAATATAAGACGGGAGGTCACTCTGATCCTGCTATCATAGTAACAGGTGCAGCCCTGCAAAGTCTGCTCCTGTCTATCACAGGGTGTCCAGGTGTGTGATGGAGCCTAGTACCACATTTCCATCAAAACCCATGCTTCACTCTTGTCTTTCTAGTTATACTTTCCAGGTCCTATGCTGATCCTGGATGATCTCCAGGTACCTGGGCAACAGCTCCATGGTCTGGAACACATTGATATAAAATCTGAGTGCAGAAGGAAGATGGCAATAAGGACCTAGTATCATGACCAGGCTCCCAGTAGGAACATTAAAAACAGATGTCAAGTTCTTTTAGGTCACCAATTTCTTTAAGAAACTTATCTATGAGAAAAACATGCCCTATGTTTTTTAAAAAATTACCACTATATATATATATATATGGGTGTTTTGCCTGCATGTATATCTGTTGTATATCTGTGTACCACATGCATGTAGTGCCTGAGTGGGAGGGAAGAGGATGTTGGATTCCTGGGATTGGAGTTATAGATAGTTGTGAGCCATCAAGTGGGTGCTGGGAATCAAAACCAGGTCCTTTAAAAGATTAGCCAATGTTCCTAACTACTGAGCCATCTCTGCAGCCCCCATTTGTGTGTGTGTGTGTGTGTGTGTGTGTGTGTGTGTGTGTGTACATCGGAGTGCATGTGCATCATAGCATAGACAGAGGAAAACTTGCAGGGGTTGGTTCTCTCTTTCAACCACATGAGTCTTAGGATCAAATTCAGGTCACTAGGCTTGTTGGGAAGTCTCTTGAGGCACAGGGTCATCTTGCTGGTCCTTGGTTAAGATTTTAATAGAGAATTCCTTCTTGTGACTGATGAAACGTACTGGGAACATTATGTTAAGAAATTAATTTCTGGATAAAGTTAGGTTTGTTTTATATTATCATTAAACAGATCTCTCACTGCTTTGGTGGCATCAGCACACCATGCTACCACCACCTGGTGGCAGGGTAAGCAAATACAGAGTTTGAGTATGTGAATAAACCTTTTAGAAGGTAGATTCTGCACAACTGAACACAATGAGTTATGGCAAATGTCACAGTCTGGTAAATGACTTCCAGTAAATACAAACCAAAGCAGAGCAGTATTTAGGAGCAGTCCAAGCTACATGTCTACCTGATAGCAGAGTACGCTTTCTTGATTTCCATTTTTGCCACAGGGAGATTCTTTTCTCCCCCTTTAATCTGTTTTCCTTACTGAAAATGGAACTGAGCAAGGAACAATGATTGCTATCCTAGGAAGAGAAGGAATTAAGGTCTTTGAGATATCCCAAGGGGCTAGGGGGATGGCTTAGTTGGTAAAGTACCTGCTGTACAACAATGAGGAGGACCTGAATTCAAACCCAGAACCATAAAAAACAAACCTGGGTAAGGTGACTCATGCTTTTAACCCCAGTGCTGGGGAGGTGGAGACAAGTGGATCCCCGGGGCCTGATAGCAGGTCCCTAGCCAACTTGGCAAGTTAGAAGTGAATGAGAGATCCTGCTCTCAAATAAGGCGGACAGTCCTGAAGGACGTGTGTGCATACACACTGTATCAACACTGGAAAATGGGGCCAGTGTCACAACACAAAGGGAACTCAAGGTGCTCAACCCATCCCCAAGATGATGTCCAGCTACTCACCCAGGTTGTACCACATGTCTCTGATCTCGAAGCCAATCTGCCTCCTCATGTCTCCATACCTAGAAACCGGAGAAAGAGAGATGCCATGTTAGTCTACAGAGTCTCTAGAAGTCCATCTCCAAGCTTCCATCATGGACTCAGATGAAGGTGGTGTCAGATTTCCACCTATATCTGCCACCAGCAGGATTTCAAGGAGAGCTCCAGTGGGAGTCTGGCTCATCCCAGGTGACAGCGCACAGTGCATCCCTGAGGGAGAGAGGAGAAGCTGTGAAAAACAGCCAGAGCATCTTGTGCTCTTCAGTCACATGGCTCCTGGTCCTAAGGGAATTTGTTTTCCATGCTTGCTGCTGTTAGCACATCCAGGCACCGGAGAGCATCCTATCCACAGAAGCAGCAGCCTCCCCACAGGAAAATGAAACCCTAGAGTTGGGGAACGCTGCTTCCAAATTTCCTCATTCTTCTTTATCATTTTAAATGTAAGCAAAAGCTTAACATCCAAATATGTCAACAAACATTCCACCAGTTTTTTGTTTATCTGGGAAAATAAATGCTAATTTTCCTCCCGGTGGGCAAAGAGAGGAGGTGTGTGTTTCATGAGTAAACAGAATTTGATGCTTCAGAAGATAAACCTTTATTAGTTTGTGAGCAATTTAACTTTTTCTTTTTAGTGCCTAAGGAAAAAGCTGATTATATTAAAAATAATAATTTGTGAAATTATCATACAGCATTGCAGCCGAGCAGCTGTATCGCCGAGCTTGCTTCGTTCGTCCTTGTGGCAGCTGAGGCGCCAAGGAAAGCTGATCACAGATGATGGTGCCCTGGCTCTTCAGGCAAGCATCCTGGCTGCTAAATCAACAACTCCCAGCTGGCTGCCACCTTATTAAAGTCTCTGGTGCCCTAAGCACCTGTCTGTCACTCACAGCAGGAGGGTTACGGTGGCATGTTCATTTCAGCAGCAAAAAAAAAAAAAATGTAATCCAAACTACATACACATGCTTTCTCTATGAGTGCTCTGTCATATACATATACATAGGCATATATGTGTATAGGTAACACATGTACTTCTTTTCATATCCATGTATGCATATATATACATATATATAAGTATAAATACTCTTCCCCATATTATATACATATATATATAAAGAAAATAGAAAGTGGGATATGATATGGGAGGGCACGAGACCTAAAAGGAGGGAAAAATAGGAGTGGGTAATGGTATATAAGCTAAAAAATAGGAGGACAGAATTGAGAGTAGGAAGGAAATCAAAGGAGTGGTCTTGGGGTCTTGGGGAAGGGCATTGAGGGTGGATAAGAACAAACTGTAATGATACACACACACACACACACACACACACACACACACACACAGAGTCACAAACCCATTACTTTGTATGCTAACTAATGTATATGCATATGTATGATGGCCCCAACCATGGCATGTAAGACATCCAGGTACAGGTGAAACAACAGAACCAGGAGGGCTGCTACTTCCTCTTGGGCTAAGCTGGGACCTCCAGACCCAGCCCAGCAAGCCAGTGAAAATGGACAGGTATTCTCAGTAAATCGGTGGATTTGCTGTCAAGCGGACTCCCTTCCACAGCAACGGGAGGCCTGATCCAGCCAGTGAAGACATACTATCAGCAAATCCTGTCAGTTTGGGATCAAGGGTGACAGGGACACACCCTTCCATGCTTTACTCTCCCTTCAAATTGCTCAAGGGTTCTGGGACCTGAACACATTAAGTTGTTAATCTTTTTGAGGTTTCTCGGCAGCCACTGCCACCTGGGCCCCGGCAAGAAGCAGTTGGCATCATGGCAGCCTGTCAACTTGGCATCTTCTGGCATTTATCAGGGGGAAAGAAATCACATTCAGACCCAGCCCTGACTTTTCTTCTGAGGCTAATGAACTAGTCATTTTCAGCTACAAGGCCTCAGACAAGACTGGGGCACACAGCATTGCGGCAGGTGGCTGCAGAACACAAACACCCTCAGCTCTCTAGCCTCTTCGATCATGTGTCCATGTCCTCAATGCACTTATGATGCCAGGGGTACCACAAGTGGTATCATTAACTCTGGATTTGAGCATCTTGCACCCAGGCTATGGGAAGGGTTTCTTCTCAAAACACAAGAATGTCTACCAGTAGGCTTCATGGGCGTCTCTGCTTCTCTGCCCTCGACTCAACTCTTTCTCTCAGGTCTTCTACTGATTACAATTCTAACAGTTTAAAAGAAGCTCTGGGATTTATTTTGCCAGTAGAAGGTTTAATATTTGTGACTCCTGATGGTGAGCCACCTTTCTCAGCTGTTGTGGAAATGAAGAGGTCTGTGCCTGCTAGTCAGCACGACGACTCTCCCTTGCTGAAGGATGGGTTTCTCCTCTCCCTTCTGCTTTCTGGACTAAGGTGATGATTTGGCATGGCAGTATTTGAGAACCAGGGGATTGGCACTGAGCAGAGCAGGCAATTCTCATGAGAGGCAGGCCTACAGCACAAGAAGCTGAAACTACCTTTTAACAGTCAAATAAGACAAGATGCCTGGAAACCCAGATAAGAAGGAGGGAGCAGCATGGTGAAGGGCAGGACTGGAGTTCCCTGGCAGCAGGCTTGATCCTTCCTTTGCATTTAATAAGAAGGCAGATCTGATGAATCTATACAAACTTCCTAGTAATTCCCAAACAGGGAAGCAGCTGTCACCAGACCTCAAGAGGGCTTTCGGGGAATACTTCCACTTTCTTCTCTTGGATGAGAAAAATGATGATGATTGAGAGTGTCTGTTTGAAGCTCATTTCCTGGAGGCAGACCTCAGAGCTGGGGGCAATTGCTGGGATCACAGTTAAGTGGCTCTTTCACAGTGCAGAGTCAGGGAGCTCGCCCAAGCCTGCAGGGCAAAGCTGGATGACTTGGCTTCGGTTATAGGGCAAAGAGAGAAAAGAGTCCAAGAACTCAGATCTCAAGCCCACATTGTTCCCTGCACTGTACACACTCCTGAGACTGGGTGTCACATTTTCTTCCAAAGCGCTTCTATCTCATATCATTCTTACAGTGCCATGTCACTCTACCAATGAGGAACCCAGGACTCAGGGTGATGAGCTTGGGTGACCTCACTCCTGTGTGTCCACCCACCCCTCAGTGAGCACAGGAAAACTGGCTTGAGAGAAAGCACTGCCCTAGTCCAGGAAGTTCTGAGATCCTACATCCAGGCTTAATACCAGCACTTGGACTCCTGCATCTTTAACCCAAGAAGAGAAAATTACATCCACCACATTCAGCCCTCATAAGGGATAAGGCCAACTAGAACCTGAATCTGAGCACAGTGGGGCAAACTACCTGAGCCCTCAGATCCTCACTTTCTTTCACCACATAGGGAAACAACTCTTGATGCTTGCCTTGGGGCTGTTCTGAATGGTGAGAGTAGGGTGGTACTCTGCCCCAGTCAACACTCCAGTGAGGAGATGCTGCAATTTAAAGGGCTTGCCTTAACCACAGCATCTCGCTCGTGGTTGCAAGGGTCATTAGACTGAGTCATTTAGCCATCACTTACCGAGAACTCCAACAAGACCCACAGGTCTCAGGAGACATACATCATGGTAGGAGAGACAGCTTCCAATCCCAGAATCACACAGGTTACCTGCATTATCTTATACACATGATTCCTGTAGGTGTGACCTTACTTGGAAATAGGATCTGTGCAATGTAACCTAGTTGTAATGAAGCCACACTGGAGGAGAGTGGGCCCTAAATGCAAGAAGAGCTGTTCCTATAAGGAGGGCACACCAAGAGTCACAGACACACAGGAAGACATGAAAAGAACCTAATATGGAGATGAACAGAGAGTGCAGTTACAACACAGGCTAGGGAATGCTGAAGGACTGGGGACAGCCAGCCGAAGTTAATAGAACCTCCCCTAGTAAAATAGCCTACACCATCACCGTCTTGATTTCAGACTTGTGGCCTCCATAATTAATGGATGGCAAATTGTGACTTCTTTGTGCCCACTCTTATGGCAGGTGAACCCAGGGAACATAAGCAATGACCCATCTACTTAGTATCTGGTCCAGTAAACAATTAGGATCTATTATCTGAAAAATGTTTTTCTAAGGAGAGAATAAAACATGAATACTATGACTGAGATTGGAGGGGCTCTGACATGTGATGTGTGGGTGCAGATGTCTAGACCAGAGAAGGAACCAGGCTGGAGAGGCAGAAGCAAGCCTAAAATGAAGTTCTGGGGAGAAGGAGATGGAGTTCTTGAAGATGGAGTGCCGTGATTTGAACACTCTGGTCTCTAAAGGTCCCTGGGCTACAAGCTTGGTCTCCAAGATAACAGGCCAGAGAGACGGCAGACATTAAGGCATCTAGATGTGGTTATATCATAAAAATACTACCCTCGGGATGGATAAATGTCTTTCAAGAACCTGGCTTGGTTCTCCCAAGATGACTTAGTCAGATCTCTTGAGAGTGAGTTAGATCTCTCAGGACAGAGTTAGGTCTCCAAGAATAGATGAGTCATGGGAAAAGTACGCATTTATAAAGCAAATCTGCCTGGTTCTCTCTCTCATGAACACTCCTCTGGACTCCTCACGTCCTCTTCATGCTTTACTACCATGCTATTATGAAGCAGAAGACTCATAACAGAAGCTGAAAAAATGCTGGCCTCATGTCCTAGAAGTCTCTTACCTCCAAGATGATGAGCTAATGGCAACCTTTTTTTCAAGACAGAGTTTCTCTGTGTAGCTTTGTAAGCAAGGATAGCATCGAACTCACAGAGATCTGCCTGCCTCTGCCTGCTGAGTACTGGGATTAGAGGCGTCTGCCACTACCGCCCAGCATAATGGTAACATTTTACAAAGCATACAAACTTTGTGTTAGTGACCAAGACACAGGTTGAGGAACATCAGTGTTGAAGGACTTGGGGAAAGCAATCAAGATCACTGGATGTTTCATCCTGATTTAGTTCCTTGTTACTTGGTCAGAGGTTCTGGAGGAATACAGTATCTGTGGCTAGAGTGCCAAAGGGTAGATGGTTAGGACAAGAGAGAAAGAAAAGAAAGGTAACCA